ATGGGCCAGTTGGCAGTGAGTTAAGGCATCGGATTTCCCACCGGTATCTGGTGCTGTCGCAAATCTCTGGTGGCCTGATCTGTTTGATTTGGCTTTTCACCCTCAGCGATTGGAGGCCTGGAGTACCCGCAACTCGAGACGATGAAGGTCTGGATCCCGAGTGGAGAGGGAGGAGGCTCGAATTTCCGTCTGGTCATCAGATCAACCTGTCCACCTTTGCACAGCTTGCATGCCTTCCTCGTCTTATTCTCTTTATCATGTCTACCGTCGAAGGTGTTTTAGCCAGGACCGAAAGGTCAAGCGGACTGATGGCTCAGTTCGCCTACCTCTGCCCAGCAGGTGACTTCTTCATTGCTCTGTTCACTTTCAGGCTTGGCCGCCGAAATAAGCTTGTTTTGGCCGGCTAGACACGTGCCGGACAAACTGGAATCGCAACAAACTTTTCTGGCATTTTAGTTCAAGGCCCTTGAAGCAGGGGCCGCTGAATTTACTGCTATTCCAGCTCTGGGGCTATCCGTTTCTCAAGAATTGTGGTATTTGCTTTGTGCAGGCATTAAGCGAGTCAGTTTTATTCCCAAAACTGCTGTTGCAGGCGAAAAAAAGAGTGGGTAAATGGGGAATTTATTCTGGCTACACCCTTCATAAACGATATGAATGGTTAGCCTGCTTAAATAGAAAAATTAGTAAAGCAAATTACAATGGTATAGAAAATATTAATTTCTGTGCCTACATTGAACTTATTTCTTGCCCAAGTTTTATTCAACAAACACTATTTCTTTACATAGCACTGTTTTTAGATCCAATTATCAACAAAAATGATGAGCGGCATTACTGAGCTTACCGTTATTTTGTGTAAACGCAATGATAATAAGCTTTTAAAGCCAAATTCGACACACGACACTACTTGTTTATAGGTTTTAGAATATGTGGAATGTTGAGCAACTTTCAAAAATACGACAGCCTAAGTAGTTGGCTCGGGGATGTGTTTAACAATTCTCCTATCCTGGTGGGCCCATTAAGTCAACCAAAAGTATTATCGGGATTATCCAATCACAATCACACCTCGGTGGCTCATTACAGTTGTGTGAACTTACATTGGATTTACGCTCTCTCCTAATTATGCAAAGCTATTACACATGTGTGGAAGTGGTTCGACCTCGTTTTCGCAACTTGTTCATGTTGTCAGGATGGCTTAACTGGACGCACCTTGTCCGAAGTCCTCTGATATAGTAGCTATTACAATTCTCAGCGTCGAACCGTGGACTTAGTATATTTCCAGACGTTTCGCCGGCATCGTAGTCGGCGTCGTCAATGAATCTTCCCAGTCTCCGCACCAAGCTACAACTCGTCAAGGAGACAAGTGAAATCAACTCCTTGACCAACTTTCTGCCGAAACGTTTGTGCTATTGTTCCGCTTTCTTTCATCGTCCATCTATCTACTCTCTGCTCTCTTATCTCACTCTCGCAGATATCATAATTTTAACTTGCTTTAATTCCATTCCTCAAGAGGTGTGACCTTTTGACGAGTTTACCTTGGCGTCATCACACCTGCTGCTTTCCTTGCCCCCCTCCCTTTCGATTCGCTGCTCCAACTCGGGCCTCCTATCCGGATCTGCCTCGTGAGCCCGTAGATCTGTTCTTATCGTTCTGGTGACCGAGTTCACTCGGCTCCAGTTACAGTGTACTACTTACGCCAGGCTCTGTTTCTCAAGCCTTCATGGGCTCGTACAATGTCGCCTCATCTACAAAGCTCCTAGTCTCTGATTCCCATGCTTGAAGATGTTAGGCAGTGGCTTCACGGATCATCTCCTTGATTCGACCCGAGCACCCAGAAAAAACTGATGACGTCTATCTCTGGTCATCTGCTGTCGCTCAATTAGATTTCTGGTCAATTTGGCTACAATGCCGAATTTCTGTTTTGGTTATGGTTATCATTCTCCTTATTCATGCGACTGCCAGGACCTCGAAGTTATGATTGTTTTATCCAGCCGACTAGAATGACTGAGACCGTCTGTTTTATTTCCGAATCTTCCGCAATATTTAGGAACAGTGTCTGAAATTTCTTCAAATTCATATTTCCCATGTGACCTAAGGACACTCGTGGCAATATGGCGTAGTGGTTAAAGTGTCGAGATTATAAGCTGGATTGTCATGATTCGAGTCCCTCTGGGAGTGTTTATAATTCCTG